TTGGTGATGGTGGTGTTGGTGATGGTGATGGTAGTGTTGGTGATGGTGATGGTAGTGTTGGTGATGGTAGTGTTGGTGATGGTGTCGTTGGTGATGGTGTCGTTGGTGATGGTGGTCATAATGCTGCTGCTTATGTTGTTGATGGTGATAGTGATGGTGATAATGATATTTATTGCCGCTGATGTGATTTTGGTGTTGGTGTTGATGATGTTGTTGTTGTTGATTATGATCAAACCATGAAAATCATTTCACTGTTTTYCTTGTCAGACTCCAACCCTTTCCATCAATACCAGCAAAAACAACAAGAAGCATACCAAAGTCTACAAAGCTATTTTGACAACCAGCGACACCTTTTACAACAACAACAAGTAGTCCAAACCCTAAACCAGTGCTACATGCAGCTGAATAACCAGCAACAGGACCTTAATTTCTTACAGGGAAAGTTCCAACAGCTGTTTTCTTGTAATAGCAATCCTCCATCAGCTGGTCCCTCGCCTCTACCACGTTATGACATGCCAGGAGCATCTCCAGGATATCCATTTGCTGCTGCTGCTAATAACCTAGGACCAACATTTTTACAACCAAATGGAATGCCAAGCTTCTCATTCAGTGGTGCACCCACAACTTTTCCATCATTACCAGTATTCTCTAGTGCAGGAATAAATACAACATACTCTCACCCAACAGCTTCAAGACCATCAGCATCTAACAACTTCACTTATTCTCCATTCCAAACCAGTGCTACAGCAAATGATTCAATAAATCACAGAGATATCCCCTGGCCAGCACCTCCATCCAGTGGACAGGCATCAGCTAGTGCTGCAGCAGACAGTATCCAGGTTCCAAGCTGGATGCCTGTCTTCTCAGATGCTTCCAGGTTTCCATCTGTACATACCCAGACGGAACACACAGCTAATCCAGAAACTGGTGTTCCTAGTCCTAGGTTTGGCGCATTTGGTGGTCACCTTTCTTCTCTTGCATCCACACCAGCTGCTGGTTCTGGTGGATTGCCCTCCTCATCAAGATATAGTGCTGTTGGTACTTCTACAGATGCAAACTTGTTAAGGAGCTATGACCCATCTGCTTATGCAGGTAATATTACACTTGTGTGCACATTCATCCATCAATCTATCTGTCTGTGAAACCCTGTCCATTCATTCATTCATCCACCCATTCATCCATAATTTATATGCATACAATGTATCGGCAGTGACACTGGATCCATGGGTTTTGTATCAGTGGGAAGTGATACGAGAAATCCATACTGTGCAACCTCACTGTATCATACTGTAGCAGTGACTATGCTTAGTGATTCGTTAAATCACCGGTAGACAATGGCAAACTATTTCATTAAGGCATGTCATACAGAGTATTTGGCGTAAGTCAACAACGTATGTTTCCCATTCATACGAAAACCGCTTCATTGTTAACAATATATAATGTTTATATTTCCATTCAGAAGCCAGACCTACCCCACCAACTGAAGTAGTGGGCCGTTCGTTTCCCACACCTCTCAGAGCACAAGCAGTAGCCAACTTAGCAAACAAAGATCGTTCTTCTCAGACTGCAAACCCAAAGCGGCCTTTGAAACGTGGCTTTGACTCAGTTGAAACGTCTTCTCAGACTTCTAGCTTACCAGGAGATGCACACGATCCTTCTAAAAGGTATTACACTATAAGTAATCAATACTGCAGTTTCAAGTTCTCTTTTGCTCTGTGTCAGCCTTGATTGTGTGTAAACTATTCAGCATTTAGGACAAAGCTCTTGGAATTCTAAGGCAATTGTATTGATTATTGATATACATTTCTCGCGTCATTACTACAAGCTGTACCAATACTAAAAATATATATTACATGCTATTGAGGCTAACAAAGAGCAAAAGAGTACTCGAAACTGGAGTATTGATACTAATAGTGAGACAACTATCGCAGTATTCTGGCCAGCATTTTAGCGAAAAAAACATATTTTATTGGCCGAGAGCATCACCCTATTTTTAGCCATGCTGCAGTTATGTACATCGGATAGCGTCACAAAAGTAGTTTGCGGTGTTGTGAGCAAGGTTTGAGAGGTGGACAACCGCGGTTCAGTTTTGCAGTTTATGGCAATGATTTTCAAAAATCTTTCTTTATTTGGGTATCTTGTTTATGCGGGTTCAAAATATTCATCATATTCTATTTTTCCCCCTTCTCTAGGGCATCTCAAGATATTGATCGGTGAGTTAGACATTCAACTACTACATTTTTCTTTTGATGTAGATTCGTATCGTTTGTTATATTCCTGTTATTTTTATGTATATGCAGGGCATCTGATGCTGGCAGTGAGTTCTCCTTGTTTGAAGCCTTGAGGGATTCCATCTACTCTGAAGTGGCTACGTTGATATCTCTTAATGAATCAAGACCACACTTCCTGGTAGGTACCATCAGAAACATGTGATCACTTCACTACTGTAGTACCTTTGCATCACTACACTCAAGCAGCTTCCCATAGTGCTCAGTCAATATGCCTACATGTAAGACCGACGAATGCATTCTATATTCCCTTCCCTGCAAAGAGAGGCGACTAAAAGATGCAAGTTTGATGGAAAAACAATTGTCATCGTATAGACAGTCCCCTTGAAATAAAACGCATCTAGTTTTTGGCAAGTCTCGTTCTTAGTACTAACCATGCATATAATTTTTGATTAGTTTTTGCATGATAATATAACTTTGAACCATGCAATGCGCTCAGTTTTTCTAATGATGTTGCCGTTGTTTTATTCCATTGTCAACAGATCGAACTATTCCGTGAACTTCAGCTACTTACATCTGACTACCTCCGTCAGCGAGCCTTATATGCATTACGTGACATTGTCACAAGGTTCCTTACAGAAGACTCTCTCACCACAGGGATGGTAGATAAAACAGCTCAGCAAACTGTAAGTTTTGCATGTCCGTGTTTGATTATTTTTTCTTTATCTGTTGTTTTCCATATCTTGGAATTTTGTTTCATTGCAGAGGTTTCAAGCATGGGCTGGTTCGAATTCTGAATTGACTCCTAGTGAGACTGTAGAAACATCAGAAGATGAGGTACTTATATAATTCAGCTAGCTGTTTTCTTCATCGTACAAGTCAAAAATAGCGTCAAAAACGATGCGATATTTTAATACGTATCCTAGCAGATAAGCCTTAGTGCAAGCTAGAGGTTTGACATTACTCTTTTAATGACATTGGTCTCAAAGTACACCATAAAGAGAGGGGTTTGGTTGGATGGGCCAGAAAAATGGAAAAAGGGAAAGCAACCAAGTCTCTAAAATTTCAATTCCAGGAATATGCATTGATAAGCATTGTAATACATTATCATTGTGTATGGTTATGTATTTTCTGATGTGTTTGTGTTCCCAGCAGAACTGTCGAGACGAAGCAGTGTCAGCTCAAGTGGTTACAGAGGGTATTTATGATTATGTGGAGAATGTAGAGTCTGGTAGTACCCTATCTACACCTACATCTAGTCAGACAGGAGATGCGCCGTTTGCTTCAGAAGGTCTTGGTGAGACGGTTATTCATTTTGATGAGGTACGTGTCTTGTACTGATGACTAAGTTGATGATTTGGGTATTACTCTATTATGATTTTGAATTGTATTTACCAGGCATTGCAAAAGATGAGAGAATATGAGCGACTTCGTGCTGAGGGTAAGCTGCGTCAACTAGATACCTCTGCTGGCAGTAAAGGTGATTCCAAGGGAGCCAGTAATAAGCAGATGAAAGAGGACGTGACGACAAGCTCTGCTGGAGACATGGGCAGTGACTCCTCTTTCTCTGATGTTCAAGTAAGTAGAACCTATAGCAGTCTATACATATGTGGTATTAAGTGATGCATGGCATGATGTATTGTCTTATATGTGGTGTGATGCAGTGCGATGTAATATGTTGTGATGCGGTGCGATGTGATATGTTGTGATGCAGTGCGATGTGTGGTGTGGTGATATTTGATATGATGTCACATGTGGTGTGTGCAATGCGCTGTGCTGCACTGTTTTGTTCCGTTTTGTTCACTTTTTTGTTCTCTGCTGTTCTGTACCTTTCTGTGCTGTGCTGTGCTGTGCTGTGCTGTGCTGTGCTGTGCTGTGCTGTGCTGTGCTGTGCTGTGCTGTGCTGTGCTGTGCTTTGCTGTTCTGTACCGTTCTGTGCTGTGCTGCGCTGTGCTGTGCTGTGCTGTGCTGTTCTGTGCTGTGCTAGGTTGTTGTGCGTATTGGAGTGCGGCGATGTTATATGGTGTGATATATCGTTAATGGTTACTAATTGTTTTTTAGTATCCTCGTATCGACACCCAAGCATTAGATCATCAAATCAAATCCATCATGTCGGTAAGTACTATCAAATATACCTGACACATTACAATACCAATGTGTCCTATTCACCATGCTATTTTTATTTGTGCAGGAGGTGATTCCTTACTTGAATGAACACATGGAAGATACCTGTACAACTGAACTGATGGGTTATATACGAGGACTAGTATTATCCAGGATAAGAGTCAGAGAAGAACAGGTAAGAAATATCAGACTGCTAACTTTGTTAAACCTTTCAGTCATTATATATATGCATTACATTGAATCAGGATGATTCTCGACACGAGGCCGGCCTGAATTAAACTCATATTTTGATTTGCAGGAGTTTGGAAGATTTTTCCACAAGCAGCTTGCTTCGATATTACATGACTCACTGTCAAAGTTTGAAGGACGAAAGTAAGCGATAAAACTTAAACTCCAATATTTTGCATCGAAGGGTAGAACATAGGAACTTGAGAATTATGTAGTATGATGAAAGAATGTTCTAAACTCGGGATCCAGGAACATGGGAAAAAGGTGTGGTCTTCTTACCCCCTCACCCTTTGGGCTTTGGGGGTAACGGGCTAGTGACCTAGACGGTAATTTTYCCCCCCTTATTCTTGAGTATCTAATGTTTGTTTTTTTCCATTTCAGAATGAAAGACTGTGGTGAAGATATGCTAGTAGATATGTCTGAGATTCTGTTCAACGAACTAGCCTTCTTTCGTTTGATGCAAGACCTCGATGGGTAGGGATACTTGTATGGATATCATTCAGTTGTTATTTATATTTGTTATTTATACTTGATGCTTCATCGTTTATAGAAGCGGCGGCACAAGAGGAAGAAGGCCATTCTGGAGACAGGTACGTCATGAAAATGCAAGAAAACCCGCCTGGTTGCTCCCGTTGTTTCTTCCTCCACGCAACAAAGCACCATCTATTTCAATATTCCTGTTTCAAGTTCTCTGTTGCTCAGGGCTAGCCTCGGTTTTCTTCAGAATATCCATATGTTCCAGTGAAGGTCCATGGAATTTCAAAGTGTTTGTATTGTTGAAGTTGTGCATTCTTGACTTTACCGTCACTGGTATTTGTTATATTGAGACACTGATTCGAGGCTAACCCTGAGTAAATGGTTCTGAAATCAAGAAACACACTAACAGCTATAACAGCAAAAATAAATACACCATCATCTAGATTGGGTTGTTATTTTTGCTGAACATTGTTTCTTGGTGGAGGCCAGAAGTAACTGAATGTTCTAGGAAAATAGGAAATGAACGGATGACTGGTATCATTAACTTACAGGAAGTCGAGAGTGGCACAGACACTGGCACAGGACAGGAAGCAGATAAAGAAGATGAAGGGGATGTTGAAGGAGCTGATGAAGAAAAGGATCAACAACCTGAAGATAGGTAACTGAAAAACACCAAAAAGCAAACGCAAAAACACATATCTAATTTATCTTTACCACAGGAAGCCCGAGCGAAATGAGTGCCAGATTTTTCATCTGTATAATGAAGATCTTTTCTGTTGGAGTTAATTAGATTTGACGTTCCTTTTCAGTGCAACTGAAGAGACGGAGTCAACGACCCGCGAGAAGCCTGAAGATGATAAGGATGATATTAAAGATGAAGAGGAAGATGATGATGATGAAGAGGACAATGAGAGTAGCGATGATACCTCATCATCTGAAGATTCAGATGCAGAGGATGAGGCTGCCGCCGACGATGAGGGTGCTGAACAAGAGGATACACCCATCCTGAAAGAAGAGAAAGAGGCGGAGGAAGAGGAACTCGGAAAGGTAACCTCACGTAGAATCTTGCTGCTCATACTATACTATGGATTCGCACCATGTAAAAGATCATTTACTATTACTGATAGGATTTGCGGAAAGAATGAGGATTTATCAACTGTATGTTTTGGTCAACCATGGAAATATAATATTCTAAAGTCGATTTCCTTTTCTTCCATTTTCTTAGGATCGAGACGACGACATGGCAGCACAATTTGAAGACATGCCAGAAAGGTACAATGGCAAACATTTTTTGGGAGTTTTTGTTTATCTATCATACATGAAGAAGTCGATGATGATACAAGAAGTTGGTGATGAGGATGATGATTTTGATGATGATACATGAAGGTGTCGATGATGATGAGGATGACACATGAAGGTGTCGATGATGATGAGGATGATACATGAAGGTGGTGATGATGTTGGTGGTTGTGGTGGTGGTGGTCGTCGTTATCGTGGTAAAGATCGTGATGGTAATGAGCATGAAGCATGAAGCAGGATGATAATGATTGATGCCTCCATATTGTAATTTCTGATTTAAGCTGGTTTTTTTTAGTTCCAAAGAAAACGCATCAGAATCGCAACAGGTAAGCTGTAATGACAYCCACCCATGTCTCATAAACTACTGATGAATGCCTAACTGAAGTATTATTCATTTGTTAGTGTGTAAAGCTCGAACTATCCGTGAGTGAATCTAAACCATTTACCAGGTAAAATCCTTCTCTTTCTGTTTGCTTGAGCCTTCATACTACTGACTTGTAATCTTCTTGGCCATTCGCATCATAGTGTGGAAAAGTGTTCTGCTGTTCTCCTTTTTTAAAAATACTCTTGTGTGCACTTCCTTATCGTTGCCAAATCATTCGATCACTTGTACAGGTCTTAATACTTCAATAATTTCAGAGTCATGAATATGACACGCAGATTTTGTCCAATACAGTTCGATCCTATCCTTGTTTTATCCCTAGCTAAGTTACACAAGTTACATCATAATTAATTACGTCTATCTTTGTATTCCGATGGCATTCAGTGCTGGCAGCGGAGAAGAAGATGGCGAGGAGTCATACGATGACTTACAGTCCAAGAGAACTCTAGGAGAATGTGAAGGAGGAACAGCGGCTGGTCGAGACAGAGGGCAAGGCAGTGAGAGTGATGAGAGTGATGATAGTAATGCACCACAAGATGATCAGGCACAGGCTACAGCTGCAGCAGCAGAAGCAGCGACTGCGGCAGTAACCACAGCAACAGCAGCAACACAGGGTGCCGACCAAGCTAACAGGCCTGAGCATCTCCAGAATGGACAGGTAAATAAATCAATTATTTCTCCTGATATGCGCAGCAATGCTTCGACAGCCACCAAAAGTTGTATTTGCTTGTTGTTTCAGCTTACGGAAGACCATGATGACTTTGAAGTCATTCTTGATGACCTACCAACCAAGCTAACAGGATTAACAGAGGTACGCCACACACTCACCCGCTATCCATACATTGCTGAGTGATTTTGAATATGTTTAGAGTTAAGTACATATCTATTACGGTTATTTTAGGCGGATCTACAAGCTCGTATAGCTGAAGAACAGAGCCGGACTGAAGGTGCTCAAGGAGTCTTGAGACATATTGATGCTGAACCAGGTCAGTTAAAAATCCTTACTAGTAGGACTGCTCCTTCGATATGTCGATAGTTTTTGATTTCTTGATTTTATTAACTTCTATTTGCGCTTTCTTAGAACTAGCTGGTGATGGAAATGCGCTGCGTGAACCAGGTAACAAACAATATTGATTTGCTCTGAAGAAACTTTATGCTTTGATGATTCTCACGAAATAAATTTGGGTATTCATTGCAGAGCTACCTGCAAATCCAGCAAATGATTCTCAAGTAGGCGAGAAGTAAATCCCTACCAGCCTATTGCACATGGATCCGTGGCTGTATGTATAGTGAATACTATATGGCTTCTAGAATTCATATTCTAACGCGCTATATTTATTGGCCTTGGAACTTCCAAGATTTCATCACCGACTCCAGGATAAACCTGAAGAAACGTTGATCCAGAAGACTGACACGTGGTGGTGTTCACAAATCCTTGAGGATTTTCTCCAAATTCCTAACTTTCAGTCCTTTTTATATATTCATATTTTAGTGTACGTACGYGTTATTAATTGATAAATCCAGTTATTAATTCATTAGGATTTCTCGATCGTCACAGTGTGGTGTGGATCAGTTTTTCTCTTAGGTATCTTGTTTCTATTGGTCGCGAGTATATTGGTCGCGGCTAGGAGACGACTTCTGTATACCTTTCTAAAGATTGCAAAGTTTGTCTGTCTGGTTGTACCTGGGTGCCTTGTCTGACTGGATAAAAGACGTTAGGTCTAGTAATTTGATAGTAATATATATTGCCTGCCTATTGAGGGCAACTCGTTTATCGATAGTTAAAACTTGCGCATGCAAACAGTTACATAGAGGAGTGAGGATGTTATCAAGGGTGCGAAGGCGCTTGTTTTGCAACACGCTCTATTTTCCCTTTGGTAACGAATAGCGCATGTATTTCATACTTATAATAATTACGCTATAACCATCTGCATGTCCTGTAGGTTCGTCTCGTTTTTATAATTATACGTCTTCTAAACATACTTCTGAGTGGTTTTAAAACACTGCGACTCTCAAATGGCTTTGATAATCGACTCGTTTGATTGGACAGTTGGCGCTGCTTTAGTGGTTATTGATTGGCTGAGAGCCTAGGTGCGATCTTCCACTACGACATTTGCGCTGTTGGAAGCTTAAGATTAAAGAAAGTTATTGAAAATCAACTTGAGGCCCGTTCAAACATGGTAACTTAACCGAGCCAGTACGCAATGAAAGCCTTGAATATTTTTTAACGAACAATTAAGGCATACTGGCAGGAGTTCCATGTTTGGATTGGGACTTTGATTCATATATTGGTCTAGTTTGTGAGATTCTTGGCACTGTTATAGCAGAGTGAAACTATTTATTAAACCCGAATTAAGTGTAAAAAAAAAGGTAAATAAAGGTTGATAGTTTTACCTAAATGTCACTAGTCATAACTGATAAAATTACAAGAAATGCATCCATGTCGCTGTGCGCTTTGAGACATACGTTTTTGAAGAACAACAATATCGCCATTCAGTTACAGCAAAAAGGTGACGGATTTACAAAACAATTCTTTACCGCTAACATCTTGGTTAGTGCAGCATATRCCAACCAATAATCTTATTTTTCTGCAAACAACTATTTTTAGACTTTTTTTCTTTCGTTAACAAATGATTAATAATATACACTTGTAGGACCGCGACGTTGCGAATGCAAACTGCTTGTCTTCACCAGGTATTGGTGTAGAACGAATGGTGTGTCTGTTATATGACTGGTATTGTTTTGGTTAARATAATCAAAGACATCTCCGAAATTGCCGATAACACTAACACGTCATTTTGAGCCAGAAAAAGGCAGAATAAAATTCGATAACTTTTTAACACACAATGGGCAAGTCGCATTTTGTAATCAGACTTCTATCGTGCGCGCGCGCGTTTGACATTCGATGACGACATAATGGACCAACTCGTCCTCGCATGTAGAATATTTTTCAAAGGTGAGCCAAGATTTTCGTTTCTTCATGATGAGGCGCTCCTCACTTGATGACTGGTTCTTCAACGCGAAGAAAGGCGACGCGAAAAAACTGGTAGAACTAATTGGCAATAAGACGGCTTGGAATATAGATGTACGAGATGAGAAGGCTCGAACTGCCTTGTTCTTGGCTGTGGAGTCGGGGAACTTGACGTGCGTGGAAAATTTGCTGCAAAATGGAGCGGATCCAAACAGGTATCTTAGACCCAGAACTATTAACTACGGCTATACGATGTTCATCTAGAAATAATAGTGAAAACTAAGTTGGTTGGAACAAAATGCGCAAAGAAAAAGCCAATATACCTCTTGAAGGATTTTTGTAAAGACGCTCCCGTGTATTTCGCTGGTCCAGTAACTTTAAATCTTAGTCTTTTTTTGGTCTTCCTGTTAATTTCCAATGTATGTTTTTTCGACAGACGCTCTCAGTTTGGAGCACCAGCTCACATGGCCATTGAAACGAGAAACGTCGAAATGCTGCGATTACTTCTCGGCTACGGCGCACATACGTACACGGAAAACGACAAACATTTGACGGTATTAGAATGCGCAAACCAAGTATTTGGAGAGCAAAATGTCCAATATATACTTGAAACCATAGGTAAGTGCTAATGGTGTTAATACAAACAATATCTACAGTGGATGCAAGGGAAAGGGCGTGGTATTTTACCATCACATCTACATAAAATACTTAATTCTGATTGGTTGATTGGCCGAAATGCAGAAAGGAAGCCGGCTGCTATAATTTTTTCAATTCAGAAACGCGTATTTTATGTAGATGTATTATTATTAAAAGGAAATACCACCTTAGTTTTCAAAGACCTAATAAATGTTTTGGACGTTCAGCAAATGCGCGTGTTCTCGAACGGTGGTAATTCCTATACATATTTCAGTCAGTTTGTTGTTATTTAGTTTGTAAATTCAATTTTATTGTAGATGCAAAGAAAGATGAGTTAGAATCCAAACGTCGAGCTTCGTCGTTGAAAGGCCAGGGCGGCAGAGGTAAGTTTGAGGAAAAATATTATCCCTCAATTCAAAGCGCACACAGAAAAGTAACAAAAACTATCTTTCTTATACTTGCAGTGTTAATAACGACACCTTTGCCTGAGGTTCAACCAAAAGATATTACACATTGCTTCGATGATGTTTACGCCGAGGGACCATACAGTCTTTATACCAAAGGAATAGTAGACAAGGATTGCGTAATAATCAAGAAATACAAAAATACTGGTAATAAGGAATTGGTAAAAAAGCTGTTTTCTAACGAGGTGATGATTCTGAGGTAAATAGTTTACATAATCACTTAAAAATAGCAAATACTTTTGCTTGCATGCCTTGTGGTCAATTGGAACCTCGATCCCGACTTTACGAACTAGAACTGATTCCAACCATTTTAATGTTGTGTCAAACTATTCATTTATTTAGTGATCTTCGTCATCCCAACATTCTACTGCTCATGTCTGCTTGTTACGGGCCTTCTACTTCTGACCTCTGCATGGTTCTTGAACCCGTCGAACAGCAAGTCTTCCTTCACAAGATGATTCACGTAGACCATGAACAAATTGCAGACGATTTTTCTTTAAGGATTGCACGGGATGTAGTCTGTGGTTTACTCTTTCTACACAATAGAGGATTCATTCATTGTTATCTTGGTTCACACAGTGTAGTCATTAATAAACAAACCAAACAAGCAAAGGTTGGTACTCAAACACACAGGAAGCCCAACTATTATCTTTTTTTTACACAAATTAGGCATCATCTAACCGTTTAATAAATATTCTCCATTGTATACTGTTAGATATGCAATTTCGAGTACGCTAGAGCGGTTCACATAGGTACCTCCTCGGACGAACCCATCAGCCACCTCGAGCCTCTATACGAATGGATGGCTCCAGAACAACTAGAGGGGATGGCCGCTGACCAGCATGGTGACGTCTATAGTTTTGGAATCCTCGTATGGGAGATGCTCACAGGAAAAAGACCGTTCCATGGTATTTATAATTTTAAGAGCTTAACAGGCGGGAAGGAAGATCCTCGTGTTAGAACTATTCCAGCAAAGTGGATTGGATTTATGAAAGAGCTAGTTAGGGATTGTTTACTTCCGCCTGCAGTACGACCCACCTCTGAACAGGTATGGTACTCTGAATACAACGCGGCTGTAAAGCCAAGAATCAGCATTTCTTTTGCGAGATATGACTATGACTAAGTCATAACAGCAGATTCTATTTTAACTGTGGGCGCAATGCGTTCTTTCCCCCGTTTCGATTTGTTTAGGAATTTTTTCGTTCAAGTTTCTCATACCCATGTCAATTCACTTCCTAAAGTCAGTTACGGGTAAATAAATTAATGAACTTAGAAACCAGGGAAATGGCATGTGGTCTGAAATAACAAAAAAAAACCAAAACAAAAAAACACACACACAAAAAAAAAAAACGCTCCCAATGTTAGCCCGCGTAGCGGCCCTATAAATCGTTCGGAGGGGGACTGGGAAGAGACTAGAGAGGTTCCTCTCACTCCCAGTCTCCCTCCGAACGACATATATAACCCTGAGTAAAATAGTCTGTGCTTGATTTGTTTTGCAGGTCTTTGAATGGCTTGATGGTGTGGTTAATAATCGACTTGTCCACTATCGACCAGCTCATTTGACTCTCGAAGAACTACCTCCCTTATTCCCTTTAATCAAACCCAAACCGGACAAAAGAAAAAGTAAATAATTTGTATTAGGTATTAGAATTTTAATCACTTTTCACATTTTGACTGAAAATAAAATGAACCAAAAAATGGAGTGCAACCATATATATATATATATACTAGAATTTTTTGTGAACAAAATCCAAGCGCTGTAAAGTGTTATAAAAATATWTTTTTTTGCGACCAAAATATACAATCAAGTCTAGGTATTATGTTTTATTTTACTGTAAGAGTTGAAGGTGGTTTATTTCTGATGGTTGCTACAACCGCACCAGGTTTATTCCTTCTTGGTCCACTGGAAGTCAGATGCATGCGTCGCTCTGTTTGCATCTTAGCATTGTAATAAGGGACTGAGTCTGGGTGTTCCATAAGAAGCTCCAACTGTAGTCGATCAAACTTCTCTTGCTCATCCTCTGGCACGTATCCTTCCCGTGAGACTTTGCGCACTCCTGGGACCGAGCTGGTAATCTGCTCGTCGGGGCCTAGGAACGATTCTACATACCAGCTGTCAAACTCGGAGAGTAAGCGCTGACGACATTGATCGACAAGCTTCTCACAGTACGTTATCTCGGATTTAAGGTTTTGTAGCTCGTCATAATTCTCTCTGTATTTGGCTTTTAGTTCTTTGATTTTCTTGACATGTTGGAATTCATCTTCATCGATGACTACTTGACCGTTTTCTATGGTAAAGTCGCCATCTTTCATTTTCTCTTCCGTTTTCTTTTCCAAGGTGACTGCTTCCTGGTCGATCTCATCTTTCAGGTTGTTAATGGTGCTCGAAAGGTCTTTGGCTGTTTGTCTTTTGGCCTTCAGAATTGCTGAAAAACATTAAAGATAAATTTATTAGAGGAGTTTAGAAAAACCTAAACTGGAAGCCAAATTAACGTCATGAGACAATTTTTAGCAGTTCCCGCAACAGATATCTCTGCTCTTTGAGAAAAGCAAGCGCGCACTTGCATCATTTCCTTCACCATCATTTTTAACTCAAGTCGTAGGCACGAGAACCTCTGACTTAGCTGTTAGCACGGTAGCTTAGCCACTGGGACATTCAAATTTCTCTTTCTTTTTTGTACTGTGCCGAAAATAAATTTAGAATATTTACCTTTGTTTTCATTCAAGATTCGGTTGATCTCGCTGCCTCTCTCCTTCTTAAAGTCTTCAAAAGCAGTACTCTTGGGTGGTGGTGACAGAGAAGACTCCGATGGAATAGGAGAACTTGGTTTCTCTTGCACATCTGATCTTCCACCACCAGCTTGTGACTTCTGACCAGCGCTCTCTCTTTCTCTGCTCTTACGACTTTTATTTCGCTTTCCGCTAACAAGTGCTGTGACGTTTGGTTTAACGTTACCTCCAGCGACGCCAACACCGAACCCTCTTGGGTCTACTTCACCCACGAGACCTGATTCTCYTTCATATGTCGTTCCGAGCTTACCAGTACCCGCTGAAAAATAAAGAAAGAATTTTAAACATTTCTAAGTACCATTACACTTAGTATTTTATCGGAAATATTTTTCATAAATCTGYGCAGTTTATAATGGAGCTTTCTTTATTTTTTCATTTCTTTTTCTTTTCAATCTAAGCACCTACACTCCACGGTTAAACTTGCTAATGGGTAGTACCTGAAGTAACTCCAGCTCTTTCTTGTAACACATACTTCTGTTTCAGCTTCTCTTCCATATCAACTTCGATAGAATTCACAATTGCTTTAAACTGAGCAAACGTCTCTTTGATCTGACGTACGTTCACTAGGTCAATATCATTCAGTTCACCAGCTAGGTAACTCTTTACTTGGTCTCGAACTTCAAGGATTTGAGACTCGGATAAAGGCTCGTAGGATATCTGACTGCGGTTTGTTAGGGTATCATGCATTGCAAGTTCTTTTCGAAGAATAATGATTTCTCTTTCGTATTCTTTACAAAGTTTGTTTGAGTCATGATACTCTGTTACGGCTGGCTCGCAGGGAACGTTCGTCATACGGCTACCAAAACGAAAAGTCGAGAGCTAGAGGGAAAAAATTAAATCTTGATTAATATCACATTGTATTACATGAAATTAATGCACAACACTATGCACTAGCGTTTATTTCTTATCCATTCAATATAAAAATAAGAATAAACTCTACGGTATGGTATCTTGCATAAACGCGTGAGAGAACCAGAGAAGTAGTCAACATTTTACATGTCCCATATTACGCGATGAATCTGACGTCACTCTAGTTACATCATCTTCAAAATGTGACGTCATTTTTTGGCATTTAAAAAAAAATCCCTTATACATAATGCTAGCTCTTCGTCGAAGGCAAAGCTTAATAAAAATTGAATCTAACAGTGAGGTACTTACTGTTTCTTCGATTTGTTCAGCTTCGCCCCAGACATTAGCAATCAGTAGCATGTTAGATTTGCCTCCAAGAGAGTCCTTCAGCACATGTGTAAGCTTGCTCTGTCTGTATGGTACATGATCACGTTGGGGATCTCCTAAGGCAATAACTACTTGTTCTAGGAATGACAGGGACTTGTTTATGTATGTTGCTTCAACCTGGGTGCTACCTTGAGACTGTGTCTTGCCAAGTCTTTCTGAACCAGCTAAATCAACCAGGTTCAGCTTGGACATGGTATATTTTGTATTGGACTCGATTCTTGAGTGTGATTCGATATAGATGGTGAAGATGCAGTGAGATCTTGATGAGTGCTTATTCAATGAGTGTTGAGCTATGATTCTATTTGTTTCACCCTAAAAAAAAAAAAATAAAAAAAAAATAAATAAATAAATAGAAAAGGGAAATAAACAAAAAAGAGTCATCGTTCACTGCAACAAGAAAATAAGAAAAAATAGGAATGAAGAGGAAATGGGAGTAGAAAAATGCAATCAAAAAACAAGAACTCACTTGATGTATTGTCTGGCTCATTAGACATTCAGTAAACAAAATCCAAACTTAAACCACAATGTCCTCTATCAAGAATATCCTTTTCTATCAGAGTTTAAAACAAAAGAACATATCCTATTCAATACACAAACCTCAAAGAGCAAATTCAAAGCCTCTTCCTCGTTGCTTGCGGTGTGGATGGACAATCCTTTGACCCTGGTTAAGCCATTGTTGTCTTCAGTAACCACCATCATACCTGGCTCTAATGGCATCACACCAGGAAGCGTTGCCAACAAATCATACATACATTCATTATAGATCTCCATATAAGAGATCCTTACGGTTACTGCATTTTCAGGGCGCTCACTAATTTCTTTGAATAGCTGTTGTATAGCACGAGGGATGATTCCACGATGTTCAAATCTTTCYGTCGACCCTGTCATCGTGAAGGTCTTCCCCGCTCCTGTTTGTCCGTAAGCCATAATCGTACCATTACAGCCGTCTAGCGTACTCAATAGGATATTCTTTGCACACTCTTCGTACACATCTTCTTGACYTGCATTGTGTAGGATTCTATCGAGAGAGAATCCCCAGTCCAGAACTTGATTGTTAATGTACCCTCGTCTCTGGTCTTTCTTGCAGTGAATATTGACGGATTTTCCATCGGGTAACAGCTCGATCATGTCCTCTGCAAACTTAGCAGAAGGACGAACCCTTACGAAGACCTTGACCCGTCCGTTGTTGCTCATTTTGGACGACAAAAAGAGAACGAGAAAGTCTTTATTTCTTGTTTTGAGTCATTGACCGAATACTATCTTGTCTGTTGCTATGTAAGCACAGCTGTTGCTAGGCAAGACACGCATACATTATGACATCTACTGCTGGCTAAGCTATTGGCGGGCGCACAGGAAAAACAAAATGGCGGACGAAGCGACTTCAAAAACAGAAGGAGTTGCTCTGCTAGAAAAATGCCCTAAAGAACAAGCTGAGAAGGTTTGTAACACCTCATTTATGTAATTGAATAGATAAACGAATCCTTCTCTGGAGAGATTCTGATATTTTATCTGGCTAGGGTGTGATTTTTTTATGATTATTGACAGTTTGTTCATCAAATTCTTGATGGAATTTGTGATGGCAAAGAACCAAGATATGTCGACTATGGAAAAATATGGACAACTGAACAATGGCAATCTGTGCGACGAGGACTTCATGTTACACTTAAGAATTTTATTTGCAAAGATTTTGGAAAAGATGAGGTATGCAAAGCATTAAGCTGCTAATATTTCTAAATTTCCTTGTTTTTAAGATATATCTTACCTTATTACTTCTAAATCCATCATAATGTTACGCTTTAGATTTTTAAAGAACTAGATCAGTACTCACTAAGTCCAGACATAAAGCAAGTTGTCTTTGGCTGTATTTTGGCTCGCAAAGATGAAATAAGGGCAGCACTTGTAAGCAATACTGCTGGAATAACAAATGCATATCTAAAAGATTTTGACTGGAAGGTCAAGGTACTGTGAACTTTGGGGCTTTCTTTTCTTTGCTTCTTTCTTTCTTGTTATTCCCTTCTTTTTAACTTTCTTTCTATGTTTTTTATTCTATTTTTCTTTGTTTTTCTTTGTTCTTTGAGAAGTAATTGTAAATAATTCTCTATTTTTCAGATGGTTCTTGCCAGTGATAAGATAGCTGGCATTAGAAAGTCTGTTGTAAGTGTGGACTTGGACATACAGCAGGACAACACAGTAAGACCTGTTACTGTGGAAATGACAAAGGAAGAATTAGGAAATCTTATAACATCTCTAGAAGCAGCTAACAAGGTATGAAAATAGCTAATCTTAACCTTCATTTAATAATCCAAAGTGATGAACTATTCATAGAATGTTTTTTTCAAATCATTTTTAGTTTTTTCATTTTATAGAGTGCAGCTTTGATGCAATATTCTCCCATTTTATGCTGTCATTCCCTTCAGTATCATTTCTTTGTTTAATGGTTATGGATGAGAAGATACATGCATGAAATATGGAAACAACCCATAAAAAGCATCTTATTCTCAAGGAAATTACAAGTGCTATGAAATGGGAAAATATTACACCTAAGCTTAACAAGTCAATATTGAATGATTGTTGAATCTTTTCTTTTTTTAGATGGTTGTTCAACTAAAGGCATAACTTTCAAGATATAAGTCATATTCAAATGAGTTATGTTATATAGATGGTCCCTCTTACTTTGGGAATGTTTCCCATTCCAAATCTAGATCTCTTGAAAATATCTTTCTTTGAATATCGTATTCATCAAGCATTTCTAAGAAAATAATAGAATTATTTTCAAGGGAATGAAACATGGTCTGAAATGAGGAATATAATGCCCAAAATAAAAGGGTCTAAACACCAAATTTAAATGATATTATGGTTACCAATTTGAATAACACTAATTGTTGTGGACTGACTAGCCTCATGTTCACATGGAAATATAAAAGGGTTTTCACAGGTATGAGAGGCTAGTCAGTCCAGAACGATAGTTATTTAAATTGGTAGCCATATTTCGATTCGGTGTATGACATTCCAGAAGAGGTTGTTTCAGACCTCTAAAAAGGAATAATTTGTAATTTTTTTATGTACTTGTCAGCATTTTTTACAATCAAATTATCTTGAGAAGGGATTGAAATGTGAAATGAAGAATAGTGTCATAGACTTAATGATTTATGTTAGATCAAAGGCTATATTCTTTAGAAATGAACCCTAGCAAAATAGGACTGAGGCTGCTTCTGCACTGTCCTGTATCCACACCTTTATTCATGGATTATATGTGGAATCAATACATTACAGAATTGCAACACCCAATTATTATAAAATAGGCATCAAACAGAAAATTAGTAATAGTAAGAGCTAGTTAAAATGTGGTTAACAACAGCCTGGCTGCATATAAAGAGTTTCAAAAGAGCTATTTTTGTTTGTGTGTTTTTTTTACATAAATAAAATTATTTTTAATACAGCATACTAATATTATGAGTCTTGCTAATAGTAGCAGTTTGATTAATTTACGAAGAATGGATCACAGGAAAAACATTTCATGAATAAAATTAACTAATATTACATTTCTATTGTCACYGTCAAACCAAAATTATAGATAGAAAAAGGGCTGAAGATTGTTTCATTAAAAGATATTCCATATATTTCCTTAGTATTGGTCTGCAATGGTAACTAGATTTGCAGCCTATCTTGCATGTTTTTGAATTGCCTATGGTATACACAGTGGAGTACTGTTTTAGAGAATTTAAAAAAGTTCACAGAAAAGGACAAAATAATTGTTATGGGTGTAAACTTTTTAATACAAGATACTTAGTCTAAGATGAGTCACATTCAGTTTTAAGGCCCCTCTTCTCCAATACAACTCAGTCAACAAAACCTAAGGCTGAGAAACATTGGAGCAGTAAAGCCTTTGGCACGTTCAATACAGTTAAGAAATAAGAGGTGGGTTGTGTGAAGGGTAGATAGCACTATCAGGCAGATAAATCTTATCCAGTGGATAAAATAATATATTGGATAACATCATCGACTTATCCACTGGATAAAGATATATCCATTGGATCATAAACAATTGAATAAGGTTGAACCATTGTGACCTTGAATGAACTTGACATGAAAGATGTATTTGCAGATAAACCTACACATAATACATTTATCACGTTGAATTCACACAATATTATGGATTGGCTGATGGCTCTCAGCCAATGAGAAGCAAGATAGTGATTAAAATGCATAATAATAGTTAATAGAGGGTCGGATAGCACTATCCACCCTTAGTATAACTGGGCCCATTGGCAACATTGTTTTTCTACAGCAAAAAATGCTGTTGAAAGTTCAAACGTTTGAACAGGCAGACAAGGCCTGTGCATGTGGTCTTGCAAAATTAGTCTCTTTTCTGATTTAGTGGTCGACATTCAGCATAAGTTTCCACCTTGATCCATCAAGAATACACCAAAAACGTGGTAAGTCTAAATCATTTCATAAAGGCATAAATGACATTATAGTCATTAATTTTGACAATCGATGCCGGCTCCAAACTTGAAACACATATTTCTAAGTAACTTATTCACTAAAGTTTAATAACGCTAGTAGGCGAATCCATCAAAAGTTTCCTCCACCAGATCGTTGAATCATCTCTGAGAATCTTTTAGTAACAAGTAAAGTAGTATCGATAAATCGCTCAACACAGTTGACCAGGCAAGTTTCGGTTCGACCGTCCAGTTTATTACCAGGTTTATCCATACACTTTTCCCAACAAACGTCTGTAAATTGGTGAACTTGAAGTTGAAATTTGGCTTTCTGTTCCTCGATCATCAACTCCTCTCTTAGTTGTGGATCAATCTGTTGATTCCCTGCCATTATTCTCTGCTAAACCCTTCAAGATGGTCGATCTGAAAATCAGAAATCGTACACGTGCCGGCACCACAGGTAGCCCAATTTGAGTCCACAGGCTACCAAAAGAACGAACTCAAGATTTTTTTTGTTACATTGTCTCTTTATTATATCCAAATTTTATATAAATTCTTGAACCCTTGAACAACTTACACAAATTTATCTTTAATGTAAATAGTACAGTATTATTAATAACTTTATCTTTTCAACTTATAAATATATAATGCTTTGAGGCTTGGAGATAAAACTATATGGAATCAGCTGTTTTTAAGAAATAACAGATATGACTTTGTCTATCAATGCCCCTTTTATGCTTTAATTATTTCAATGATATTTTGCCCACTAAAAGCAACAAAGCAAAAATGAAGAACTTCTTGTTGATAATTAATACCACTAAAATAAGCATGTTCTAATCCAAGATGAAATAATAATAAAACTGTAAGATATAAATTATTCCAATCACTCAGGAAGAGTTACTAACTTCCCAATTAATAATAATGTCATTTGGAATGATTTAATTGTGGTTTTATAAATAAATACTAGCTAAATTAACACTTGTGTTCTGTTAATTACCTTGACTGCAGGAGGTCTTGCAAAGTTTCAAACTCTTGAGGGCACAAATGTTGCAGTAACATATAAGATATACACCTACTTGCAAGAACGTTGTCATATGAAAATAGAACATTAGTGATTTAGTGGGATAGGAATTATATTAAAAAACAAAAGATCACTGAAGCTGATCTTTTTCTTTTGTCTTTTAATGTATTCTATTCTCACTAAATTACTAATGTTCTAATATCGTGTGACAACGTTCTTGCAAGTAGGTGTATATGCCACATAAAGGTTTTTGTAGACCAAAATATAACGAAACATGCCACACATGATCATGATGCTGTCTTTGTTGCAGAAAAATGAAAGGTCATCCATGTGTGATACGTTCTTAGCTTAAAGTCAAGGAATCTTTTTTTAATGTGTATTTTTCATCTAGCGCCTAAATGTATATTGAAATTTTAGTCCAAGTTAACCAGAATTTGAAATTATCATCCAGCTGATTACAAAATAGAACAAGAAGATTGGATAAACAGCAAGAGCTTTTCTGTTGCGAGGCTGGCTGTCTCCAAGGAATTTAACTGATGCTGTAAAATAAAAAAAATTAAATTATTAGTAGGATTGCAGTTTCCCTAACCATATCATTGATGAACTGTACTCCTAGTAAAGACATTATAGTACTAGGATACAGCTTTGTCGGGCCCTCTTCCTCCCTTGAAAATTCMTGAATGGAATGAAAATTTGTCATGAATATGAGTGAGCGAGCGAGTGAGTGAGTGTCGGTAAAGTGTTGGTATTGCGCTTTTGGCTAACAGTTGGGCCAGTGTCCACTGACATATGTCTGCTGTCTGTCAAGTACATGATCACCCTCCTTAATTTCTGATATCTTTCATTGAAGTCAATGTATGTTATAAGAATTCAGGGGATATTTGAGATTTTTTTTTTCATTGTACTTACCAAATGTTGCCCAAGCAAAGCCAGCAATAACAAAAATAAGTCTTACAAAGAACAAGGCCACATTCTGCTTAGCAAGGAGAATAAATCTGCAAACGATTAGTGCGACGACCAGGGGGAAAATACAGTAACCAAGAACACAAACACTCTGAAAGAATGAACTGTGGAAAGGCAAATATTTTAACAAAAAATTAAAAAGACATCAAAAATTATATTAAAGATTTGTTATCACAACCGTTCTACTTACATTTGTCCACCTAAAAGTTTTGAGTTGATCGTAATGACAAACGAACCAACCCAGACGACAACGAAAACCTCTGCAAACTGAGGTCCACCATCATTATTACTATCAGCTACTTTATGACCTTGCAATAACCTAGAACAGCAGAGAGAATTCACTAAGACTTAAAATAAAAGTCATATTTTCATGCAATTTTAACATTATTAGAAAACATCCACCCATATCTTTATTATAGAAGAAAATTCTCTCTACCCTTTGGACATGTTTCAATAGAACCCTTGCCAAAATGGCGGCCTCAAATTCAGTTAAGTTAAAATTAAACTGAGAGAAAAACATTCCAGTGCTGGTATTGGTTTTTTAATTAAGTCATTTCAATTTTAAGTCGCTATTTCGGCAAAGGGTCTATTTTCTTCAAGGGGAATATCATACCAATAATAAGATATTTTGCAAAGATAAAATAGTCCTCGTGCCAGCAATATTTTTCTTCATGCACCATTGCCTAAGACTGTACTTTTATAAGGATGAATTTCCTTTTTTTGTTTCATGATGAGGGCATCAACCATCAACATAAAAGTGCAGTCATGAAAAGTCAATGTGGTCACTTGATGTCACCATCATCTTTGATAAATGTGTTTAATGGCTTTAAGTTTCCAAATTGGAATTTGCCACAAACATAATACAATTAAATACACAACATACAAAGCTAAGGGGGGCCGGAGAAGAAAACAGGGTGATAGCCCCAATTGAAATAAATGAATGACAATACTCCATTTTACAGTTCCGTTCAGTGACTACGAATAATAGCCGAGGCTGGAGTTTCTGCGCATAGCAAAACTACAGTTTATCATGTGCGTTAACTCCAGCCTCGGCTAGGAACTATTATTCGTGGTCACTGAATGGAACTGTAAAATGGAGTATTGTACGCGATTTAAATCATGTAGCTTGAGGCACTTACATTGCAAGACAGACACACAATATCAAAGGTCCCCACAGATCCCCTGAGGAAAAAAGCAAAACACAAACTTTACAATACTTGTAATTCCCTAACTCATATGATACTTAAATTACTTGAATAGAAAAGAAAATGTAACCTTTTGCTATGGCTCTTGTATTTGGTCTCCCCTAGAAAACAAGACTAGTCGCTAGGGGTAACCCTACTTTTATGTAAAYGGGCCGGCCTAAATGGTATTAAAAAAATACGCATGGACAGACACAAAATATCGGAGGCAAAGAAAGTTCAAATCAGCTGTTTTAAACCATTATTGTTTATCAAAAACATTATTTACCGACACCAATAAATAAAATGAAATGGTAATTAAGTTGTTTTATTAYAATTAATGAATCTATGGAGATTAATCAAATGAATAATACAAAAAAATAGAAAATCAAACAAAACTTTGCAGGAGTTAATATAATTTCAGCTAATAATATAAGTTACAGTTATAATACAATTATTTGGTCTACTTACAATCTCTAAGGAGCGATTTACTCTGTCTTGGAATCATAACATGTAAAAATTTTATCCCCACTGCTTTTAAATCTCGTTTCTTTGAAGGAAAGACAGGAAAAATAATATTTACCACAAATAGCTGTATGACCACGTAGCGTATTTATGACAAACGAAGCTCATTCAGATCAAAAACGAGCAAAGATCATGAAAAATTATCAGGTAAAAACGACTCACTAGCGTTTCGATCACAGGTTCATCTAATGTGCTTGGTTGTTCGTCCTCATCAGGAGCTCCTGGTACTGTAATATCACCTTCTACTTCAACACTAACGTTGCTTGAAACAAAACCTGGTTCGGTCGCCATTTTGATTTCCTTTGATTAATTGGATTACCGCTGATCTATCCTTTTCTTGCTTGTGGACTCAAAGAAATGCCAAATTTGTTATAAAATGATTCTTTCTTTCTTTCTTTCTTTCTTTCTT